GTTTAAATATTCCATATCAATGACTTCTCTCATTACTACATGAATGAATGAATGTGCCTCCATTGTTACCTTCAGAGAGTTCATGGCACCATCAAGTGGATTGCCATGTTACGGCATTTCAGTGATAAAATACGTGAAGTAGATATATGCTATGTTGTTTTTTGTTTTGATTTACGTTTGTGTCCAGTTAGATATGTCAGTGTCTTAGGAGTTAGAAAAACTACAAAAGCACTAACAAATCTAGTACTTATCTGAAAGGAACATTTGGTATGTTGTGTATCGATTACAGTGCAAGAAAATAATGCTTTAAATGTGCTAAATGCTTCCTTCAGTGTATTCTTTAGTTTATATTGCTAGAGCTGAGCGAACTAGTAAAAAGGTTTGAAGAGTCCCTTAAAACTAGCAGTTCAGTGGATGAGGATCCAAGACTGGGGGTTGAGAGAGAAACTGCATTCTTATTTCTGTCCCAAAATCACATAGCAGATTGGTGACCAGTTGCTTGGCCAGACATTTTTTGCTCTCATTCTTCCTCTGTCTTGTCTTTACACAGCATATTTTTCTGGCAGGGACAATCCTCCTGAAACTTTATGGAAAGCCTCTCTCTCCTACCAGTTAGGCCCTCTATGCTGCCACAAACAATTTTCAACCAGTACATACAGACTTGTGGTTTCATGATTGTTTTAATCTGACATAAATCCATGAGGCAACTTCCATCTCCTCTTGTGCCGCCAGTAACATCGGTGCAGCTGCATGGCAGGCCAAACCAGAGAACTGATTTGGTTAAAAGTTCATCTTTTGGGCTTGTTTGGCCCTCTCTGAAGACAGCCACTTTCATTTGGGGCGTGGATTGTGTCAGATTAAATTAGCGGTACAATCGCAGCCTAATCGTATGTCTCTTCTGTGTTAGAATTCATCGAGGGGGTCTCACTGCCTCAGTAGCAACTGTACAGGATTTCCACTTGTGCTAAACTGGCAGCTCTCTAAGTGTAATAAAAGGAATATACTTTGAAACTTTGAGGTTGTTGACAAGGGTCTACGTTACTGATGCAGCTATTTCAGATTTCAATATTGTAAAAACTCTTTGGTTTTTTCCTTATTGTGAAAAGCAGCTGTTGTATGCAAATCTTTGTAATGCAGGATACCAAGAACAGAAGACTTACAGTATGTGTAGAAAACCATTTCTAACTAAAACAAATCTGAAAAATGTTAGTTAGCTCTGTCTGTGTACCAGTGTAAGAAAAGTAAACCACTTGGGAATGTCATTTTGCAGATAAGGAGTTATATGCTTGGATGAAGTGTGTGAAGGGACAGCCTCATGATCACAAACACCTGATGCCAACACAGATTATTCCAGGCTCTGGTAAGACCACCTACGAACAAGCAGGATGTGTTTTTTATCCCAGTCTTTCTGTGAAGAGAGGACAGAGTTCGTTCTTTCAACTTCTCATTTTCATTTAAAAACCTGCGAATTGTGTCAAACCGTCGCAGGAAGGCAAGGGTTTCTGGGCAGTTAACAGCAAGGGGCACAGCTGATGAAGAGAGAAAGAGGAGTATGCTGACAGATGTTTGAAGGGGTTTTGGGGACAGGTAGTGAAGAAATTCAGGGTGTTGTGACTGTTTTGTAACTTTCCAGAGCAGAATAAACCAGCCAGAATGTACTTTAAAAATCTGACCTTAGCCAGTAAAATCTTAGAATAGTACTGCCGAGGAGCATTATGTGACAATAGATTTTTGGGGGGTTTGTTTTTCACTATTTTCTGTCCCAACCCCACCCACTGAAAAAAGATTCATGTGTGGGTTTGGTTGGACATCTGATTGAGCATCTTAAAGCAAAACGTAGTGAAAGAGCTTGTGATAAATGAAAAACTAAGCAGTAATCCTGAACCCAGCTAAATTCGTAATTCTTACAGTCAAGTAAGTTTTATGAAGAACTGCGGTTAGGTGTGGTGGTTGTTGGTAGCGCAGCTTTGCTTGTGATCTCTGGCAGCATTGATGCAAAGCAGAGAATAGAAAACTCAAATGTGCCCTTAAATGCATTGAGTAAATTCCTAAGTTATTTTGAGCTGGAAATACAGACTCGGTTATTATTTTATGGATTGTTGCATGTTAGTTCAGGTAGAAATGAAGGTTGGTTAGATTCCATAATAAATTCAAATTGTGACGTTCCCCAGAACAGGTTCTAATCTGAAACTGGTTTTAATTTTAAATTGTGAAGTGAACCACTCATCTGGAAATAGCACAGTGAAGGCTGCCTGCGTAACCTTAGTTTTGTTCTTCTGTGCTTACCCATTACCAAACAGCCTTAAATTACATGATCACATACTCATTTTTTTTGTCAAGACGTGGCTCACTTCAGCCTGTAGTTTGACAGTTTCATTAAACGAAGCACTGATGCACCCGTTGAACAATGAGGAGCAAATAACAAATGACTGGCTTGCTTGGTGTGTGCCATACAATTGGAATGCAGATTGAAGGTTATTCAGAAGAGTAGTGTGCAATTATTTAATTAAAGACATTGTGTCTTTCTGCACGAGCTTTCAGGTAAACTGGATAGTTTTTGTAGTATTTTTGAGTGTTATATTTAGCATTCTTAATAGTTTCAATTTTAAAAAGGTTTGGAGATAGCATTTTAGCATCATAGTGTGTGTATTGTAAAGAGGGCCATAAAATGATTTGAGAGCTCCTGATGGTTTTCTTCTTACTTGTCTTCTAGTTTTGACAGATCTTTTAGATGCTATGCACAATATTAGAGAAAAATTTGAAATGAAATCCCATTGTCAGTGCTCCAGCAAGCAGAGCACGCAAACTGGCAAGCTCCCTGCAATGAATGGTGTGTCCCAGGTGAGTCTAAAACATGTATGTACCTGGCAGTTTGTTCAGGTGTTCTGATTGTTGTGGATTTTTCTATTTGAATAGTAGTAGTTGCATTTTAATTTGCATGTACGATGGTTCAGTGCTAGCCTTGTCTTTGAAATACATTAAAGCAAAGTTATATAGTTAAAAATAAATTTGTTCTTTGCAGGTTTTGCAGAATGTCCTTAACCACAGTAATAAGATTTCTCTGTGCATGCCTGAGTCTCAACAGCAGAATACTCCTCAAAAGTCCGAGACAAATGGTAATACAAGTCCAAGGAGTGATGTAAGCACAGACAGCAAGTTAACGCCACCTGAATCCCAGTCACCGCTGCATTGGTTAGCTGACCTTGCAGAGCAGAAGGCCAGAGAAGAAAAGAAAGGTATGTGTTTGAAATTGTCATACCATGTCCATGCCATTGAGAGCACCAGTGATACACAATTGAATTAATTAGGAAAAATTCGCACAGTTTTCTGTGCGACAAAAAGAAAAGATGTTCTTTTCCCCCTTAATTTTAATCTTGAAACAGCAATGCCTTCTCCTGGTGGCATCAGTCTGTTACCAGAAGAGCCACTAGTGGAACGCATGTATAATGTGGCAGTGTTTCCAGCTATAGCATCTCTCATTTGTGACAGGTACTCACTCAGCTGCATGTCTGAGGTGCTGAGGAAGGCCTTTTCATGGTCACACTGTTTGACTGCATTTTGAAGGATCTAGTTCATCCTCTGGTGTGTTTTCAGGTGAATAAAGTGCTAGTGCTACAGTGTATTACTACTGCCACTATAAAATGCAGGATACTGGTGCTGTTCCTATGTCTGTATTGCGATACAACACTGTAAACTTCCAACGATTATTTTTGTTTTAGAGAACAAAGAATGTCCTCCTGGAAAACATGCAAAGGAAGAGAAAGACCAGGATAGTTTGGAATCGCCAAACTGTAAAAGCTCCCCCCCTGCATCCCAGAACAACGAGCAGGGCTCAACCTTACGAGATTTATTAACTACAACAGCAGGCAAACTGCGTCTAGGTTCTACAGATGCTGGTATTGCTTTTGCTCCAGTTTACTCCACAGGAACAGCAGTAAGTGTTTACAAGATGCATGGTTTTTATATCAGGATTTGAAAATCTCTGTCATTTGTTTTGGTACATTGTAGTTAGAGCAGTCTGATAGCTGTATTGTTTTAAATATTCATTTATAATTAAAATTTTATTACACACACATACGCATTTGCATTAACATTTTATTATAGTGATAATTGATACATACTGTGAGGAAAATGTCCATGGAGTTAGATAAAGCCTTAACTTGACAAAGTAAAGGAAGACTCCAATATGTTGAGTTTGGTAATAACTATATATTTCTAATTTCTTCCATGTAAGAATGCATGTAGTTTCCTACAAAGGAACCAGATAACTGCACGCTTCGAATTGTTAATGAAATGTTGTCATTCTAGTGCAAAAGGAATTGGATGGACTTTATTTGCTTTTACATTGTTTAAGCATACATTTGTTTGTTTTCTAATAGAGCGGCAAGAGTGGAAGGACTATGCCAAACATTCTTGATGACATAATTGCTTCAGTAGTAGAAAACAAGATTCCACCAAATAGAGCACCAAAGATAAATGTAAAATCTGAAATAAAAGATGAGCCAAAGGATGATAGAAAATGTATTCAGGATGACTGCAGTAAACTGTACAGTGATATTCAGTATTCGTGGATCTGTGATAAGCATGTTTTGTGGCTCAGAGACCATAAAAACAACAACAACTGGAAGCTCTTCAAAGAGTGCTGGAAACAAGGAAGGGTAGGTAGTGAGCTGTTCTGTCCATGAAGTGACCACCTCAGTGTGAACACTGGGGGAGTTGTGTTAAAGGACAAATTTGCCTAACTGCATGTTTGAAAATGTATCGTTAGCAGTGGGCAAAAGCTTGTCAGGTATAGCCCACGTACGAGCCTTGTGTAGTTTAAACTTCAGTTAACTGCTACTAAAAAATTACGGGGATTGACATTTCAAAAAGATGTGTGTATGACATCTTGGGTATGGTCGCTGTTGGAGGAAGTGTTAACAGCTCAGTAGGGCCAACATTTTCAGTGTGTGTTTTGGATCCATTTGTACTCCGGTTCAGTTGAAGGAGGTGTTTATTCTTCAGCCAGGCCCAAAGAGTTGTGGTGAGTGGAGTTAAATCCGCTTCCCAGGGCTCGGTACTGCAGCCAGTTCTGTTAATATCTTTAGTAATGATCTGGATGATGGGATCGAGTGCACCCTCAGGAAATTTGCAGATGACACCAGGTTGGGTGGGAAAGAAGGGCAGCAAAGCTGGTGAAGGGTCTGGAGCGCAGGTCTGATGAGGAACGGCTGAGGGAGCTGGGGTTGTTTACCCTGGAGGAAAGGAGGCCGAGGGGAGACCTGATCGCTCCCTACAACTACCTGCAAGGAGGTTGTAGCCAGGTGGGTGTTGGTCTCTTCTCCCAAGTAACAAGCAATAGGACAAGAGGAGGTGGCCTCGAGTTGTACCAGGGGAGGTTTACATTGGATGTTAGGAAAAATTTGTTCACTGAAAGTGTTGTCAAGCACTGGAACGGGCTGCCCAGGGACGTGGTGGAGTCACCATCCCTGGAGGTGTTTAAAAGACATGTAGATGTAGCGCTTAGGGACGTGGTTTAGTGGTGGACTTGGCAGTGCTATTAATGGTTGGACTCAGTCATCTTAAAGGTCTTTTCCAACCTGAACAATTGCATGATTCTATGAAAAGGATAAATATTTTTTTAATTTTATTTTTTTACAGCCTGTTTTAGTGTCCGGTATGCATAAGAAAATGAACTTCAGTCTGTGGAAAGCTGAGTCAATTAGTCTAGATTTTGGAAACCAGCAAGCTGATATCTTGAATTGCAAAGACAGTATTATTTCAAACACCAATGTCAAGGAATTCTGGGATGGTTTTGAAGATGTTTCAAGTACGTAACTTCATATATATTATTCCATTGATTCTGAACGTGGTCAGTGTTGGCAAATGCAGTTAAAAATACTCTTTATGGATCTTGAGGCTTTGAAGAAACTTTAAAAAGAAAGCTCTAAGTAATCTGTTTCCAGAGAATATGATGGAAACTTGCATTTTGTACCTTTGCAGAATTAAAGATACACTAATATACTAGTTCGGTCTGACTAAGAAACCAAACAAATGCCATTGTTCCTCAACTGGTTGAGTTTGTTTTGTTTCCTTCTTGAGTCTTGAAATTAATTACCTCCTGTTCTATGGATGAACAGGTTAAGAGTTCAGTTACATGTTTTAGTTGAATAAACTAAAATACCTACAGTGCGTTAGTTTTTAGTAATTTCTGTGTTACTTGCAGAACGGCAGAAAATAAAAAATGGGGAAACAGCTCTACTAAAGCTGAAAGATTGGCCTTCTGGTGAAGATTTCAAGGCTATGATGCCAGCAAGGTATTTGAGTTTAATATTAGATATTCTTAAGCCAATCTCTATGTTGGGTTTGAGGTTGGTTTTTTTCCCCTCTGGGTAATGACACAAATTCAGTTACATTCTTCTTTCTTTTCTCCTCCAGATATGAGGACTTATTAAAAAGTTTACCCTTGCCTGAATATTGTAGTCCAGAAGGAAAACTAAACTTGGCTTCTCATCTGCCAGGATTTTTTGTCCGTCCAGATTTGGGACCCAGACTGTGCAGTGCATATGGTGAGTGTGCCCTAGAAATGTAGCAATTCCCTCTTCCCTTACAAGTATGGAATATCACAGGGTATAATGCTTGATAGAAAGCTGAGCTTGTTAGAGGTTAATTGTTCACTGAATGTAGGAGAAATATTTTACTGACTTGCATATTAACAGTGCGTGCGCCTCCGGCATGAGAGTTTATTTGCTTCTGCGTTTCTATCATTTCTTTCGCTGTTACGGTCTTTGGAAACATATACGTGGTTAGCTACTTTTACACAAAGAGAGATCCCATCTTTAATGCCATATGACAAAATACTTCAGGAAGTAGTATTGTGTTCATAATTCTGGTCATAAATAAATCTCAGCATTTTTCTCTTAATTTGTATTTTTATTGTAAACTGTATGCTCAAAAACTTGTTTAGAAAAGGTTGTTTCCCTCAGACTTTTTCCAACTTTTTCCTTCTCTTGCAAACAAATTTATTCAATTCTGTTTTACAAATTGTTGTAATAGGATGAGAAATTACTTGTAATTTGTGTCATGATGGCTTTGATTAAAAAAGTTCTCCAGATGTCCTTTGAAGTAAATCTACTAAAGCTAGTGATCCAGGCATGGGTCTGAGGAACTGAATCACTAATGACACTTTTATGTAATACTGCTGCAAGGCTTAGTGTTCAGAAATGTCCTTTTGACTTAAGCACGTACATTTTCACCTCTTAAAACTAAAATTAATTTTCCTCTGTGCTTGGGGATTTCTTTTGGTTAAGAACTTGGCTTACAGCCAGGCATAAAAGTGACACATATGATTTGATAACCTTGTGTATTCATTGTACTTAGATTCTGCCTTGAACAACCCAGAAGGTTGAAAAGTTGGGAAGGAATGTAGTGGTCAGGAAATGTCTTTGATTATTCTGCTGAAATGTGTTTTGTTCTGACACAACTGCTACCTAGGGACAGTTACCTGGGCTAACAGTTATCTCAAGATCTTTGTTAAAAAGTAACATTTTCTTGTTTTGCAAGTGTAACAAAAGCACCTTTGTAGTTTGTGTGTCCCAGTGTTTTTACATTAAAACCTATCTGTACATAAAATGTTTTTTTGTGGTGCTTGGTGTACATTCAGAAATTTCTTCTCAGCTGTTGCACGTTTCTCTTTGACGGTGAATATGCAATACAACAAATGTTAATTTTATCTTGTAACAGGTGTGGCTGCTACTAAAGACCATGATATAGGAACCACAAATCTCCATATTGAAGTTTCTGATGTCGTGAACATCCTTGTTTATGTTGGCATAGCGAAAGGAAATGGAGTGCTTTCCAAATCAGGTAAAGGGAAGCTCACGGTAAGAGGTGTAGATGGGCTGAAGGATCTGCCACTTCTAAAATTGACACTGTACTTCTGAAGTGGGTGAAAGATGTCCATCAGAATTTGCTTAAACCTGGGAGATTCTTTGTCTTAAGGATTTGCACGCACATTAATTCTGCATAAACCACGCTGCAGTTCATGAATTATGAAATGGTATTTCAAACTCTTTTCACTTTTTTTGCCATTACCGATAATTGATGTACCATTCCTGTGCTGGGGCTGGCAGAGCTAATGAAAGGGCAGGATGAAGGATTTTCTCTGGAAGCTGTGGTAGTTCTAACAATTATGTCAGGATGATGTATTTGGCAAGCCCTCTGTTTATTCTGCTCCCTCTGGATGCACTGTGTTTGCTCTATTGAATTTGGACTGTAACATAATTTTTCTGCACTGGAGAGCTTAAATTGGTGTATGTTAGTCCTCTCTATGAGGTTTATTGCTTATGTGAAACAGTCTTTAAATCACTTTGTTTCTTTCCCCTTCTTTTGTCTTCTCATTCCATAATCAGCAAATGTAGATTTTGGGTGTGACTGATAGAGCTGCAGTAAGGTTTGCTGTCTTTTATTTGCTTTGTTTTTCACTTGCGTACGCACCGAGTTAGCAGCAGCAGAACTTCAGCATACTGGGAGAGCTCTAACTCCCTGACTAGCTGCTGCGGAACGGCACACAAAACACTGCTTTTGCTGACTGCGAGAAAACACCTTTTTCGTCTTGTAATTTTTTGGTGCTAGCCCTGCTCGTTTATTTCAGGTAGGAGAATGTGTTCTATCAAATTCAAGAGGTGTAAAAAAGTTTTAAAAATTAACCGTTGTTTCATGTTCTAGTAACTTAATACAAATATCGACAAAGAGGATCACTTGGGGGCTTCTGTTGTATTCAGCAAACTTTTGTCTGCTCAGGCTCACTCAAGAAATTCAAAAAGAAGGTGTTTAGTTTCAGTTTTTCCTCTGTCTCGCTTTTAAAAAATATTTTTTATTGAATCTTAGGAGTTTTGAAGAAGTTTGAAGAGGAAGATTTGGATGACCTTTTAAGGAAGCGGTTGAAAGATTCAAGTGAATTGCCTGGTGCTTTATGGCACATTTATGCTGGCAAAGATGCTGACAAGATAAGGGAGTTTCTGCAGAAGGTTAGATTTATAATAGATATTTTATAAATATAATTGAAGCAACTGGTAAATCAAAGGGGGCTGGCAAAAACCACGAACCCCACTCCTATGCTTAGCGAAGGGGCGGGAGCAAAATTCTTTCATTTATAGCACGTAAAACAGATTATAATTGACCTGCTACATCAGTCAACAGATACGTAACATGATTCGTAGTCACCTCTTAAGAGTTACAGGTAGCCTGCAAACTGAAGGCTCAGGAGGGCATGGAGGTGTATCGTTGTCCTTCTCTAATACAAAGGGTAATTATTTTTTGGTATTGGCATTTGTAGGATAATGTTTTTCTGTTGCTGATCCATTCTTGCCTTATCAGATGCTGACATTTTTGTGAATTGTCCCATGCAAAAACACCCAACCTTGCAACCCAGCAGCCACCAATCTTCTTAGGGACTCTGCGTCACGTCATGTAGCTCTAAAGGACACGCCCCGCCTCTTACTGAAGACGAAAGCAGTGAGGGACAACGTACCCAAGGGCAGCAAACTCCTTCAGCGTTAGCTACGGTGCAGGTCTTCCTTCAGTAGCATGTGATGAACAAGTTAGAGCCACATCAGAACCTTTCAGGTCGTTAACATACTATGTAGGATGAATATCCACCACTGGGCCAGTGATAGTCATCAATGGCATTAAATTTAGAGATACCATCTTGGAAGCGGTTTTCGGTGCCCTGTCTGCAGTGTGCTTTCATGTTCTAGAAGGCGGTCTTGAAGGATGACATAGAATTACCAAAATATCACTGAAGTGGTCGCTCGAGGAAAAGAAGTCTTCACTGTCTTCTACTGTGGGGAAAAAAGTCAGATGAGTTTTAACGGGCTAAGCCAAAGGGGTCCATAAACAGGCTGGAGGCCAAGGTCTACTGCGAGCAGGAAGAGCCTAAGAAATAGAGCTTTAAAGATTCTCTGGGACAATAAAGCAGTGTTTCAGTCCCAGGACAGCTGTCCTCTGGTGGTTTGAACATTTGCTCTTTGGCAAGCTGAACTGTGGGGAAAAATGAGCACTAGTAGACAAAATACAGCTAATTCCAGGAGGCTGTGAATTATACAGCTAGGCTTTTCTCTTCATTCAAAAAGTGGATGCTCACAAAGTAGATGCTGGCTTCAGTTTGGAAGAGAGAGTTGTGAACAAAATCACGAATGCAAGGGAATGGGTGGACATTGAATAGTAGTCAGCCTTCCTGCTTGCAGAGCAATTAAAGCAAGTTGTGAAACTCTCTGAGCAGCAGGTTTAAAACAGAAGCGCTTAAGGCACTATGTAATAAAGTTTGTTGTTTGCTGCCACAGCTTGCCATGGTATCCAAAATGGTGTACCGCCTTGTATTTGTAGTGCGGTGGTATGTTTTAAATACTGAATTGGAGGTGAATTGGTGACTAGACCTCGGGACCACTTTGCTGATAAGAGATAGAATCTCAGTACCTTGGTAGTACAGAAGAAAGGTGATAATACGCAAGAACAGTTTCAAGCTCTGCATCACATAATTAAGTATATTTAATACCAATATGAATAAAAATCTGGTTTTAATGGGAGAATTGTCTCCTAATTCATGACAGATGGATTGGATATGTGTTTTTTATCTTTAGTCACTATGATTCCTTAATTAGCAATTGATTAAGGGTAACGTTTGTTCCCTTGTGGTTAACTTGATGAGAAATGGTTGTTGCACTTAAGCCTACCACTATCAGGAAGTTTTTTTTTTTTAAACATCCCGTCATTTTTTCCAAATTCCTTGATGGGATGGTAGGAAAACAACTTCTTGTCATGGAGTGGTTGAGATTGGAAGGGGAGGTCCTTCTGTCCAGCCCTGTGCTCGAGCAGGTTGCCCAGGACCATATGACCCTTAGCTTTGCTGCTTTTTTCCTGAACTGAGGTCGCAGTGTTGTGTGCCTGTGTCAGAACTGACGGTTCTAAGTTTGAGGAATTGGCAGCATAGAAACTCTTGAGGTCAGATTTTATTTTCTTTATGAACAAAGTCACGCAGAGAGCATGTTGCTTATTAATAGATTATAGTGCCGAGTTCTTTAAAGCTCCGTGTTTTGGAGTGGGAATTCTGCAGATGTCTTCAGTTCCTTTGAGGTCCTTTTGAATCCCTAACTAAAATTCTCATTTGGGTATTGGGAACACAGTACTGTTGCTTTGTTAGGTGTACTTAAAACTCCTCAGCAAAAGGTTCAGCTCCTTTTGAAAGTGACCCGGAGTCTTTTCTGTACTTACAGATAGCAAAAGAACAAGGCTTAGAAGTTTTACCGGAGCATGATCCAATACGTGATCAGAGTTGGTATGTGAACAAAAAGCTTCGCCAAAGACTTCTTGAAGAATACGGAGTAAAAACCTGTACGGTTATTCAGTTTCTTGGTGATGCTATTATCCTACCAGCAGGAGCACTTCATCAGGTAATGTACATCTGTTTAAAGACACACAGGATTAAATAACATAAATACCATAAAATAACTTTTTTTCCAAAAACATAACTACATCTGTACCCAGATTTACTTTTCTTACTGGTATGCATTAGTGTACAGGAATATATAATAAGGTACATCTGCTCGTACAGCTGACTAGCCAGTACTAACATACAGTGGTTTGAACGCTTGAAATAATACTGTTCCTTTTTTCCTTGAAAATGAAAAATGAGCAGACTACTGTTAACCACCATTTCCACTTCGCATTTCATTAGCAAATTTCTAAATAAACCGGTGTTAGTTATGGCAAAGTCAGGTTATTATTTTTTTCTTTTAAACCCAAAGTTAACTTGCCCCTGGAGAGGCAGGAGGAGGAACCCAAGCAGCTAAGTACCTGGATGCCACTTGTTGTTGCCTTCAGCCGTAGGAGAATTGTAGATACAGTTTGGGTGTAACAAGATGTTTCTGTAACGGGCTTTGGAGGTTGTTTGCTGCTCCACATTAAGTTCCTTTTTACAAAGAAGGTACATCAATCACTGGGAGTCCTCATTGTCCCTTCAGCAACTTTCCGTACCACCTTTGTAGCAGCTGGGCTGATTCATTCTTAATGATGTAAGAAAAAGTACTGCCAGTGGGGCAGTTCTGGAGAAATGGCGTGAATTTGTGTCGCAAGCTTCAGTCCTCTCCTAGCATGTGGGGTTTGTTACTTCGTTTTGCTTGTTTGTTTTCTCACAGTCTGCACGCTGCTTCTCCTTGGTGAGAAGAGAAGGAAAGCACACTTGTTCAGATATGATTTTTGGGCAGTTGTAGATAGATTTATTTCTTCACCCCATGAACATTTTCCTGTTGAAACAGGAAATGGAGCCTGCCGTCTTGCTGTCATGCCAGCTGTCAAGCACCACTAATGAGGTAGCTGACTACCAAGGAATGAGGAGCATCCCCACCCTGCAGTAGGGGTTGTAAACCATCGTGCTGTTAAAGACTTATCATTGATCTCCACTCGGGTTCAAGCGAGGCCAGGCCTTTCTGAAGAAGTTGCTATTTGGTTTCTGTTCTGTAGATCAGCTTCCAACCACCGCCTCTTCTGGGCGATGGAAACGATGACATACCCTGTCACCATGACCAGGGCAGCGGGGTTTTCTCTGTGAGAAAAATGACTGGGTTGTAGTGATGACAAGTGTTATGTCCCTCATCTGCCTGCTGGCTGTTTCAGTTGCTGGGGTGTTGAAAGCAACAGGTACCTTACCCAGACTAGACTCCTTTGTCATTCCAGCCGCATTCTTTAGATGGATTTCATGTGGTGGTGTGCTAACCCTGGATGATCTGTGTGGATTTGTTTTCTGGCAAAAGAGAAAAAAAACCCCTCAAACCTGGGTGACCAAATACTGGGTTGTTGTAGGTTGCCTTTCCCTGTACCATGTCTCCAGGGCTTGATGTTCCTTCACAAAGGTGAAGGGATGTCTGGCATTGATGATATTCTTGGCTCCTGTTAGGCTAAAGCAGTTAGGACTCCCGGAGTTGATAAGATTTGTATTGCATCCTCCAGCAACCTTACTCTGATCTCTCAAAACAAGGGAGACATCCCAGATACAAAAGTGAAAAGGGAACCCACGGAAAATTACAAACACACTGGCGAATTTGTTTTATATAGCATGCGGCATTATATAAAGCCCTGCAGACTATAAACATGAAGTAGTGGGGCTGTTCCAGGCTTCCCTGCAGTTCATAGGTTTAAGGACCAAAAATAAGACCACTCTTAACTTTATCTCCTTGGCTTTAAACTCCACACTGCTTTTGAAGTGGTAATGTTCTAGCTCCTGGCACCAAGGAGTTAATAACATGATGTTTTTAAACCTTAGTGGGTGAAGCTGAGAACCTTTTCATCTTCAGCAAGAAGTTCCTGTGAATCTGCCACGTAGGAGGAAATGAAAGCATCATGTTCTTTCATGTACGTGTATAGTACTCTCTATATAGAGATGCATAAATACTGACCTTAGGGATCAGCACCAACACTTCATATATACAAAGCACATTCAAACACTTAAAAATAAGTCTGAACAAGAACACATACCAGGTTAAGTTTGCATGTTAAGTGCTTCAGATTTACGTGCACATCATGAATCTTTAATAATTTAAACTGGGTGACAGTTGATACTAAATTTGGTGGTAAATTAACATTTTTATTTTTATTTGCTCAGCAGTAAGGTGGAGTAGAGGAAATCGGGCTGAGGTACAGCATTAGGCACCCCGGCTGCCTGTGGTCAGCGTGTAGTGTAGCTCAGACACATCCATCCTGGAGCCAGTGAGGATTGTTGTTGTGTCACTGCCGCTCCTGCTGTGCTGGTCTAGAATTTTATGGTTCTAACAAGGAGGAGGTTGTCTGTATTTCTTCAATTTATTCTTTTTTCCCCCAGCTTCCATGGATTCATGCCTAGCTTTTAAAGTAACTTGTTCTTAGTATTTTACAAGAGCATAGAGCATTCCTCTTGCTTCCCAGGTTTCCCTCTCCTCCCTGTGCGCTTGTAGACAGCAGTCACATTCCCCTTGTGATCATCTTAGTAGGCAACGTCAAGCTGTTCCGTGGTGGGGTGGGAGGGAGAGCCCGTCCTGTGAGCTGTGACGGTCGGAGCAGCCTTGTCAGCACCTCTTGGGGAGGAATTGCGCTCTCTTGTACTAGCTAGTCCTTGGCTCTCCTTGGAAACTCCCCCAGCTAAAAAAAGGGGGTTATTACTGTTCTTTTGACTGATTCGCTCTTTTGTCCAGTTCACTCTGGGTCATCCTGTATCACAGTCCTCCTCCAAGTATGCCCTCCCTGGTTTTAATTTGGTGACTCCAAATTTGTAAACTATTTTAGTGATAAAAAAAAAAGAAATACTTGAGTTGGTGATTGAAATGTGTTGTTCAGGCTGCATGCAAAACTTGTTCATAGTAGAACAGGTTATTATAATGTTGTCTTTTATACTGGTATTATCTTGATTTAACAGCAGGATTGTATGTTGTAAAATAACATGCTGGAGGTAATGCGACATCCTGGCGATGTTACGATAAGGATGTAGGGTAAAGGTCTGGGAGCTGCGTACGTAGAGCTGCTGGGCCGAGCGCTGGCCCCGGAGCCGAGCCCTGCAGGAAGTGGCTGATCCTTGGTGTGAGGACAGGAGGGAGACGGCTGTGCGGGGAGGAGCTGCGGCCATGAGGGCGGACGGCCCTTTCCTCCCTGCCCGCTCGCCTTTCGCACCCGGCTTTCCCGAGACTCCACCCGAGACTCCACCCGTCCGTCTCCCGGACCCTGCTGGAAAAACTCTGCCCTGCATGGGCAGGGGGCGAAGCTGCTCTCTCAGTTCAGCTGGAACCGGCACGGCCGTGGGAGTGCTGCAGTCCTCGCCCCACGAACCGCAGGGGAATCATCGCTAAACATACTTATTTGTGTGTGTCGTCGTATCAGCTGGTATTATAAATCTTGGGAACAGAGCTGCCAGCAGGGCATTCCCATGTGAAGTACCAGACTGGCTGGGGAAAATCTGTCTGCCCCCCAAGACTTGCACACTGATAAGACAGGCCCTGGAAGGGAAGGAGGTTAAAGGCACAGCAGAGTGAAGGGTCTGAGGGCAGCAAAAAAATAATGCCCGCTCTGCAGTGCAGAGAGAGGGAATCAGTAAAATCTTGTCTCGGTGAGGAGAAAGTGAGAGAGTGATATGGGATTTGCATGGGGTGGGAAGGGAAAGAAGGGCAGGTAGAGACTTGAAACAGGTGAGAAGCCTGCGAGGGAAGAGGGGGCTGGAGCCGGCAGCGCAGAGGCGTTTCAGCTGAAGCTCTAGGAAGTTCCCCAAGTGCTGGTGGGAGCCTTGTGGTGGCACATGTGCAGCTGTCTCCTTGCTGCTGGCTTTCTGACGTTTGCAAATTGTGTGGCATCAACAAACCCACTGCATCTCTGGAACGGTTTCTCTTCCAATTAATCTGCAGGAGGAACGGCACTGCTTTGCCCTTCTTGACCATTGCCAGGCAGCAGAAACCCCACGTACAGCACTAGGGTTGAGCTAGGGGTTACCCTCTGGGATTTCACCTGCAAAGGGACAGGCTACCTTATAAAACCAGACTTGAGCAGCGGTCTTGAGAATAATTTTTAAATGAAGTGCTGTCCTCCACTGTAGGCCCCAAAGGTTTTTTGAATGTCAAGTATCTCAGTGGAAATTTTAGAGTAGAGTATGCATTAAAAATCTCTAGATTTTGCTAGGCTCGAGCTTAAAATACACAGATCTTCATCAGTGCTGAGCAGGGTGGGACTGTTCGTTTGCTTGTTAGGACGGCAAAGGCATTCCCTCCCCTCTCCACCCCCCTAC